AGGGGATTGTGTGTGTGTGTACGACCATCGATTTTGATGACGGCTTGTAACCTCCCCCAGTTAGCGCACAGAATACCGCCCATATACGCAAGCACGGCGCAGTAGGACCAAAGTGGGACCTTTGGTCCCACTGGAACCATTCTATCCTTTGGTTCCGGAACATTGCTATTAAGGCTGTCTGTATCCAAGACTTGTGTTTCTTATCATGCATCCGATCCCCCACTAAGACAGTGGATATTTTCATATGTGAATAAAATTAATAATCTAATCATATCTGTCAATTGTAGTAACAATTCGAATAGGCCGTGCTTATGCTCTTTTTTGATTTTTTTCTGACTACATCCACGCAACGCATCGGAAAGCTGCTAAAAGGTGCAAGTGCGCAGCGGAGGTGCTTGTTTCATCAAAATATCGTAATTCCGCAAACGAAAGAAGAACAAGTAGAATAGACTAATCCGCCCGAAAAGTAAGGGAGAACTATTCACTGGAGCTTTTTCGTTGCCTCTATAAAATTGAGGACAAACTTTTGAAAAGCCACGCAAGAGCTTACGTAGTGGTGCATCAGGATACTCAGAGGCACCCAGACCACAGCTGCAAGACAGAGGATAATGCTCACAACATTGGCCCAGATGTACCTGGCTAAATAACGGAAAAAGAAAAACCACGCCAAAAATAATTAATATAAGCAGTTCATGTTTTCATTAAAAAATATACGACGTTAGCTTTTTTCACAGCAATGATGAGTCGATCAATCACCATACCACCTAAAATATTTAAAAACCACATTTCCAAACATGCCACTTGAAACCCCCAAACATATGCTAAATGCGACTATTACTAAACTAAAAGGAGTTTTGGGCCTTTTACTGTGATAATTGTCTTTCAGATTAACTGGCAAACAATCGTACTATCCTCCCATCGCTGCTTTCAGCGACAGGATACTTATAGTTTGTTTTATGCCAATGAAGATAAAGTAGATGCTCAGAGGGTATAGTTATACATTAACCATTTTTCCTAGTGTAGCAGTTCTGACAGTGAGTGTATTCAGAGCGTCACAGTAAATGTGACCTACTCTTAATGAGGAGGAGTAAAAGGCAAAATTCTACGAATAGTTTAATCAGTACAGAATACCAGTGCAAGGACGAAATAGGCGATCCCAATCAGGCAACAAAATTTCGTTTGAAATTTAGTAGATAGTCAGTATTAATAGAAGACCGAAATGAGTACGATTTAAAAATGAAATGTTAAAATCAATTTGCGACGCCACAATATCAAGAGGGAAGGACTTTATCACCAAAAAGGAAGAATGAAGGCTATATCTTAAAATACCAACCGACTAAGGGAACATGCGTTTAAAGGGTAAAGCCAACGTTTGATGTCACCTAAAGCGATCCCGTAGAAGACTCTAGTGCGTTAGAACTAAGCCCGAGTCCAACGTTTCTGGAATGCACGAGAATAAGAGTATGGTCCGGCCGACAGAAACCTTAACCAAGCTACCGAAATGACCCGTAACGAAGTCAAAAGCTCTTACTTTCACCAAATAAGTGGTTAGTTATTTTCATTACCCGTACTCGGGTCGCACACTGCGTCCGTGTCAAACTCAGTGCTGATTGTAGCCTCCAACAGGTGGCCGGCCTTGAGTCTGCGTCCGCGTTCATCCGTCAGGATGATGTGGGCCTCATGTAAGAGTCCATCAACATCAGCTTAGTGAGTTAGTTTGTGGGTGCCTTTGAGCGTCTATCCCGAAGGCTGTGTGTGCGCAGGCTCCGGCCGGTTGGGAGACGTGACCAGAGATTTAATAGTCTAGTGCATGTGATGGGGTGTTAAACTAATTACTTACCACCTAGTACTGCAAAATCGGCGCCTTGCGCATAAATTAGTTTCATCTTTCCGCATTCAGCCTATTTACCGGTCATATATAATCAATTGCCCATTTCATGTTAGCATTTGGTCGGGGATAAAATGCCGCTGAACTATTTGCTTTTTGCCTTTGCTTCAGCTTGCCCCTTCAATATCAGGTTCTGCAGCAACGGCTTCATAAGCAACTATCTTTCTCGTTAAATATATCGAAGTATGCCAAAGAACATTCGGCATATTGGCAACATCAGAAGGATCTTAGATGTTAAAAAGATAGAAAATCAAGGTGTCTTGCATGCAAAAACCTGCGTACCTATTTTATTATCTACGAACCGTTCAAATAGTGACCACAGTCGTCCAATGCGTTTCGCTTTTGACTCCTGACAGACACCTGACCTGCAGACTCCGTAAGGGCATGGTCGATTGCAATCGAGGTGCATTACGTTGAGGTCATTCCTCGGCTTCTCATCCGCCATATTCCAGAGAAACAATATTGGCACATTATCTGTTGCTGGAATTGCATCTGTTTTATTAATAGCAATCGCCCTCCAGCCTTCAGGTGGAGATGAATAAGTTCCATAAATGTCATTGGGCTGTGTGTCAGAGGTTTTAATAACCATTGGTTGACAAACCTCGACTATCTCGCGCCCCGATCTAACTTTGAACGAGCAGCAGATCAAGCAGGAGACTTCGGCTGCAATTTTAAGGAAGCGGAATCATAAATGACAGTGGTAGTAAACACTAAATGGTTATCTAGGCAAAACATAGCATTTAACAGTATAGTAGAGGTCAAGAAATTTGGGCTGTACCAGTCTTGGACACATTGCATGGTAAAAAAAGACACACCAATATTCGCGGGCAGTTTTCAGATATTTAAGACGTTAGGTGGCAAAACGTTAATATAAAACATATTATGCAGTATCGATGTATACGAAAAAAGATGAAATCATAACCCGGCCCACCGAAAAAGTCCGCTCGACGGTCGTCTTGGATGAGACTGAGTAAAGGACAAGAGTGGACAACCTTTTGATGGATAAGGAATTCTATGCGCCATCGACTGTCAAGGAGGACAAAAGCTCGTGAAAAGCATAAACAAGACGATCGCAAGCTGAAGAAGGTGAGAGCTCATATGAGAAGCAAGCACTGGCCACGAAAGCCTTTGATGCCAAAGTGGCGCGCTTTTAGGGTCTGCCAAAGGCCAAGAAGTCAGGAATGCCTCTTCGCCCCGTCGTCTCCTTACTTGAAACCTCAAAATTTGGGCCATCGAAGTGATTGTAACAGTAAAGGTTTTCCTTAGAAAAAAAACCCGAAGGCGACAATGAAGTCGACTGAAGAATTATTGACGCACATCTAACATCTTGAAGTAGACGTAGAGGTGAGGATTTTCTCATTTGCTGTGATCTCCCTGCTATCTGTATTCCACACGCACTGGCTTACAGTGCTATCGACAAACATTCCCAGGAAACGTAGGACGATATCGACCAAATGACTAAACGAGTGATGAAATCGAGCTCCTCGAACGGTGTCTTAAGACGACAGTGAGAGACAGATGTTCTTACATGCCCTTTTAATGCTAATACGTTCATTCACAATCGGCAGAGCGAATGAGAAGATGGTCAGCCTGGTGCTCCAAAGTTGGTCTTCGGCTGACATATTCAATCGAGCTACAGACCTTTAAAACACTATCGGGCGCTTCGCACAAAGCTAGGCTCAGTTCGAAGGACCAGTAGAGGCCTAGTGGCCTTTTAAAAAAAATTGCATCACTAGAAAAGGCAGTTCTCTTTCCCCTGTTAAGTAGAACTTCTGGAAACTTAGGATTTCACTGGAAGCGGTCGACCGAGAACTAGACTGAAAGGTTGCGGGGCTCCTGAGGGCCACTATGCTTGAAAGGCGGACAATTTAGCATACTTGTGTGGGTAGAGACGACAATGAAATGGAGAAAATGAATCCAATAATCAGTTCGGAAGTTAAGAAGTAGATGCGATCGTTGGGAAGATAATGTTATTCGTCTGACGATTTTTGATTCTGTCTCGAACTCGTGGTCAGAGACAACAACAGAAACGGGTACTTCGTCCACAGGGAGTGGCTTTGTTTGTAGGATAGATTTACTATTTAACTGCATACCTATGAAAATAAACAGCTTCGTCCTCATCAAGAATAGTTGCCAGCTTGTGCGCTAATTGCTGCATGGGCATTATGCGGTTCGTGACCTGCTGACATTGTATTAATCGTGTTGGATTTTGGCATGAGGGTTACTTGGCCATTTGGCTCAACGGCACTAGCATTGGAAGGAGTGTTCACCTATACGCTTCCGAAATGAGTTTCAGCACCAAATATGCGATGCAGAAGTCATCGCACTTGTGTATAGACTGGGGGTTCGTGAACCATGACGCAAGCAACTCCCTGCTTACAAGATCGTCCCTCTTGCGAGAATTTCGGTCTCATAGAATTTAAATGTGTGGCCGTGTCTCGTCAAATTAACCAAGACTTGAGGACTGGATTCATTTCTTCTGACTGCGGCAGCGTGTTTGGAAATTCGCGTTCGGAGAAGTGTTTCCATTTCTTTGACATAGTTGCTTCGTTCGCAACTCTGCCAGATCCGATGGACGACTCGTTAAGAGTGATTAGTGAGGCCTAACCTAAGATATTTTCGGCTTATAATGAAAAATTTCTTCCTATTGTTCAGTAGGCATACTTTCCGTTTTCCTCCGCCGCGGATTCAATTAGATGCACGAGGTGGTACGCGCACCGATTTTAGTCCTCCTTCGACTCGCACGTTTCACCCTTCCCCCGAACATTGTCTAAGTTACCTTGCCCAGAGTCTGCGGACACCCCCCTTCTTACGCGCGCTCACCACTGTTCTAATTGGAGTTGATAATAATATTAAAATTGCGCCTCAGTTACCTTACCAGAGGTCTACGGACACGTTCCATTTCGCACGCCTTGACCATCAGTGACCTCGTCCGAGGTCAGCGGACACATTCCAACCTACACGCGCTCGTCGTTGGTCTAGTGAGGGTTAGTAATAATGCCAAAAATCCACCTCAATGACCTCGCCTAAGGTCAGCGAACACCACTTAACTTACACGCGCCCGCCGTTGGTCCAGCGGGGCTTATTAATAGTAGTAAAATACGCCTTATATGGGAGCTTCCCGTCTGGTCGCCAAGGACCTTGCCCAAGTTCTACGGATACGTCCCATCTTACACGCCTTGACCTTCGGTGTCCTCGCCCAAGGTCAGCGTACACGTCCCAACTTACACGCGCTCGCCGTCGGTCCAACGCAGGTGAGTAATAATGTTAAAAAAATTAAAACTGAAAGTATGCCTAGTGAACAGTAGGAAGTAGTTTTTTCATTATAAGTCAAAACTATTTCAGGCCTCACTAATTATTCTTTCCACCGACTATTTATGTTTTGTATCGTGGCGGTAGATCTTTTGGTTGAATTATCTGACGTCCAAAGGTTGCCTTCGGCCTGTGTGAGACTCCAAATCTAAGTGATGCGATAAGAGGGTTGGAGCCTTTCGAGATGTTTTCGATGTACGAGACTGGTCAGGAAAACTTGGGGTCGGTGCGATTATGCAGATTTACCGCTTGACGAAGTTGCACGGGTAGCCATTTCCTTTGAACATCCGTCAAAGGTACTACCGTTCGGCACGCTTGTTTTTTCGTTCAGTGCAATGTGTCTCAACATACTGAGGCAGCGTCCTTACGCAACGGGGTTTGTGGCTGGTAAGTAGTTACCGTTGAAGTTTAGCATTGGATCGTATTTATTGATTTCCCGGATAATTTAGTCACTAGGCTGCCATACCCTGCGGCAGACGACGACATCAAGGAAAGCCAGCTGGCGTGTTTCTTTCGCCAGTTTAGAGGTTAACAACCATATTTTCAACTGATCAGTTTCACTCAGATCATGCTTTGTCCGACGCGTGTGATTGCCGATAGGTGTGGCAATTTCAGCTTGCTAAAAATAATATTATCAGAAACCCACAGCAGTAGCAGTATAGTTAAAATGGCCTAAGTTGTGATGGTGTAAAACGTTGCCTGGTTAGATTTTTAACAGGTGTATTGGTTATCGAACTTGTTGCTTATTAAAAGTTTAGGTTAGCTTTATGTATGAGCAACCGAGAGAACGGATGTTAACACAATTTAACAAATTTCAAGGTGGGCTACGACACCGGCATATTTTTTATAGGAATTTATTAATACCTTTTACCGCTGTGAAATGTACACCAACATTTCGTAGGAATGTGTCTTCGATACAAATTAATTAAATGCTTCAAACCTGAAAAATATACCCGTCAAAGGCTTTCGCTGTTGCCCTCCAAGTAAACTGAATAAGAGTGTTATTAAGCGTTGAGATGCGAATGAAAAGCATTAAGATTAGACTTGTTCCTAATAATTCAACTCACTCTTATCACAAATGCAGGTTTTGAGGCCAAAACTGCTACAAAAAGATTTACAGATGCCTTTATCACAGTAACCATGCTCGTGGCACCGCTTGGATAGAGACGGAGCAGGTGGAGGACAGTGCAGAGAAGTTCCATCACAATATCCCGCAGATAAACAAGGTGTGATTGCTTTGACTTCTGAGCAAATGGTTCCCGCAGCAGCGATTTTGCAATCTGAAAAAAAAACAGCGTCTCGTTGACCACGTTTTTGCGATAATGAAATATCTTGAAATTATTAAGCAATGCAGGTAGACTATGAATATTAGTCAGTAGCAGGATGGAGAAAGTATTGTAATGCCGACTGGTAATTAGGAATGACATGAAGCGTATGCTCGCTCGACTCTTGTCCCAAACGAAAACAACAACACGACAGAGAAAGAAAAGGCGATGGACCACGAGACAATATATTAGAATTTCACAGGTGGCTTTCAATGAAAAACTGCATGTATTTGTAATATCTCGTTCAAATCCGCTTCAAACGATAGCTCTAGAAAAGCCGAGAAATGTACTGCAGACATGGAGCAAGCTATTAGCATGCTGTTGTTGGGCAGCCAGCACGCAAGGGGAGTCGCAACGTACTTCCAATGAGATAGACTGATTTTTTTGGAATGTGGACATTCTCAACAGAATGTTTAACTAGGTGTGGCGTTTTTCAGCGGGTTAGTTCAGTTCCCTTGGTTTCACCTTCGACAAGTCAAATCAGGATTCCTGACCAAAGCATTTCAAGCTAGCGGTTGGGCCTTTGGCGTAACAGTAACGCATATAGCAGTGAGCTTACCGTAAGCATATCGTTTGAATTTGTATTGGTGACTGCCCGCGGGCATGAGGTTTAGTTGCCTGATTATCAAATCACGTAGCAAGGATTCGGCAGTTAATTTAACAATTAACTCGGTTGCCAGGACGATAAAACCCCCTGTTCTAAAATTCAGCTGAATTAAACTGTGTGTCCACGCTAGGCGTCACGCGTAGGATAAATAACTTTGTGGTGTCTTTGTATGCATAATGACTGTTATACCCCCGAGAGGTAGATGTAAAAAAGAGAGCTGATTCGGTAATTAAAGGGTCTTGTGCTCAGCCTGCGGAAGCACGAAATTTTTTTCTAATCCAAATTCACCGTATCAATTTTATTCTATCGATATTCCGGATCTTGACTACGTTCGGGAGTGTTTCGGACCTTACGGTGATGTTCATTAATTGACGGGCTCATGCGCGAAAATCCCTTGCTGGAAATCGTACACTAATCAATCTGTACCGCGGGTGAGCAAAAGCAGCACGCGTGGTCGCTACTGCCGCGCACGATAAATAGGCTTCTTGACTTAAAAGCCCGTGCCCGGCTTCGTGCGCCATTACAGTGACTAGGACTTCGTCCGGGTATTGCTCCATGAAAGCTTTGAGATCATTTGCAGAGTCCCATCATCTGCTACAACGGACTTGTGCATACACTGCTTTTCTCGGTAATGGAATAGTGGCTAAGATATGCGGTCACGTTAATTAAGCGTTTGACAGTGCGTTGCGGTAGGCCCGCAGCTCATTGCTAAAATTGGACGCTTTTTATCAGACCTACTCAGGATATAAGAAATACAGTTTAAGAGTTTCATGTCGATGGCCTTATGTTGTTATGTAAAGAAACGTGGACAAAACAGCTAAACGCTCGTCAGAAAAAAACCGACCTTTTGTGCAGCACTTGTGATTGAAAGGCGAACACTGAGCTCCAGGGGCCAATTTGCACGTTTCTAAACAGCACTTGTTTGCGCCAGATCTTCCGGGATCACACTCTTCGCCAGGGTCAAGGCGGAAGTTTCCACATTGGCCCACTGAAATCTGAGACTCGTCCTCGAAACAGCGATGTGATTTACGTTCAAGCACCGTACCAATAGAGCGCCGACTACATACAGAAAATTTCTGCCAACGCATGTGAAAATGTAGAAGGGTAACATATTAAGAGCTTTGTCGAAACGACGATAAAAACGTGCCAGAGAAAAGGTTTCTGTTAGGCAATAGGAAGCTTAGAGTGCACATAAGGGTGAGTTATTATCTGCGCTTAATGGGCCGTTCTGCGATCCACCTCGGCAAGCATGTTAAACGCGAAATTTGGCGAAGCAGCTCTGCATGGCATCTGCAAATCTTTGGACGGAGCTTGGCGGAACTCATCAAAAGGTAAATGGGATTTATTTTTCGCCTCGAGCGCGTGAGGGTTGTTAAAAGGGGGAGGTTGGTGCAATTTTTTTGGAGTGATGTTTGCATTCCCACTCTCTCATCAACAGAAGATGTTTTTGGAAGCGTGTCCTTATATCTATGTTTTACATCCTAGATGGCCCAAGGTTGCTGATAGCAACGGCGCCAATTTAAAGGCTGGTATCGCACAACGACAGGAAAAATCATTTGCTCGAAAGACAAACTAGACCCAACTGAACTATCAGGTGTCATCTATCTCTCTCTGTGCAACGACTGCTCCTGAAGCTAGACAGGTAAAATCGAAGACTGAAAATCAGTTCGTGTCAGTGCTAAATAGTCGTTAAGTAAGATGCGTTTCATCTTTCACGGCTGTCCACAGTCTAGAACGAAACCAGCGTTTCGATCAACTTCAATGTCAAAAATTGGACTGCGCGGATAGAAGCTGTTGCATAAGGAGAGACATTTGAATTTAGTTGACCCAATTGTGAAAAAACTCGCGGCATTCGGCGGGATTCGAAGAACTCGCGGCATTCGGCGGGATTCGAACCCGCATAGGAGGGAGGCCTTTTACGCCAGCCAACGCTCTACCCACTATGAGCTAAGAATGTCGCGCCTTGGGATGGATAAAGTAGTGCGCCGAATTCCATTGTGCGTATAGTGTAAGACCCAGTCGAACTGGAAGAGGTAAGCTAATCCAACGATTTACAAGTGCCCTCAAGGTCGGCTCAACCTGCCGCAGATATACAATCTCAGGTTCATGCAAGATTCTTCGGCAGATCACCTCTCCTGTCCCTTCTATTGGTTTAGATTGAGTGGTTTAGTAGAGGAGGGCAAAATGCATTAACTTCAGATGGAACCACAGGCATACCCGGCCTTGCTGCGAAATATAAAAACAAACTTGGAAGAACTTTTGAATCCATTTGACAATGCATATGGGCTACAGCAAGAGCGAATTTTAAAGTTACGTAGTGTCGCTAACAAAATCAAGGCATTAGGATGGAGAAAATGTCAAAACGTGATTTTCGCTCAGACATTTTCTTTGACGGATTTGAAGATCCGGAACACGCTCGAAACTTAAAAACGTTCTTTGCTGATTGACTACTGATGCTAGGTCAGGGTACGTTTTTCAAACTTCCGATATTTAATTTACAAACCTTAATACTATGAAACAATGGTATTATCGACAAACACAGAGCACATCCGCAAACCGGCAACGCGGCGGACCCGTGGCTCCATGGTTAGAGCGTTCGCCTCTGATCGGAAAGACGCGAGTTCGAAACTCGGGTGGGCCGCAATTTCCGCCGTTACACTGGAGTTGGGCTATCATCACCGGATGACGTCTAATGAAGAAGAAAAAGCCTTCGCGGATGTGCTCCGTGTTTGTCGGTAATTCCATTGTTACTAGAATCTAGCGAGTAACATAACTTTTTCGCCTTAACGCATATGATTGGGGTGTCAATATCTCGCAAACAAGGCATCAAGCAGGATGGGTACATCCTAACACAGATCGGTGTACAGTTACCCACTACTTAAGTAGGCGTAGGTTGATGTATTACTTCATAGTATTATGCAGTTACCGGTAAATTAACTACCGTATTCATATAATTACTACTGGAACTACGCTATGAACCACACGAAGAATACAGCGACAGAAAG